CGAGTGTCCTGGGTCACATTTAGGAACTTGGAGATGCTGCACCCATTTTCTGTGTGAAAGGAAATGTCCCTGCTGTATCTGTTTGACCTCTGCCTGGTGACATCAAAGAAGGAATGGCAGGCAAAGAGCAGATGTGTTTGTAACATTTGGGGGCCCAAACGCGGAGACATGGCTTGCTGGCCTATTCTCAGAGAGGGTGCCTCCTCCACCCCACGGGAGCCAGGCCCCTGGGCTTGGACAGCAGCCTTGGGGATGGACACTAGACAGAGAGAGCCTGGAGGGTGCAGAGAACGAAAGCTCATGTGTGGGGGGTGGGGTGAGGACCCGGGTTTGAATCCAGCTCTACCCTTCTGGCTGAGTGACTAAGTCCCTATGACCTTAGATTCCTCACCTGTGCATGACCTGTGCCTGATCCATGTTGGCCCAAATGCCGGGCATGACTGGTGCCCTGCTTCTCCCCAACATCCACATTGTGGGGTGCTCATGATGCTCCCCAATTGCTGTTTGCTTTCTCTGATCCCATCCAGCCCAGGAGAAGTTGTGACAAACAGGAAATTTGACACACATGCTGCATCTTCCAAAAGGTTTCTTTCCCCCCCAGACATAAGGTCAAGTCTGAATTAAGCACCCGCTCCACCCCTTCCTACCCCATTTCCCCAGCGCACAGCTCCTTGCAAATCCTTGCCCATCGCCATTAAAACAGGAGTCTGATAATGGAGCAAACACAGACATTCAGTGATTGTATTTAATTCCAACTGTAAGCGTGTCAGTTAAAGTACTGGCCTGGTGGAGATCATCTTTAAAGAGGTGACTCCTTGGAACAGGCCGTCCTGATCAACTGTCTGGTCTCTTCTTGAGAGGCGATCAGGATCCAAGACACACACCGTGGGAGGACAAAGAAAGAAGGCAGCCATCTTCACACCCACCAGAGAGGGCCCCAAACAATCCACTGATATCAGACTTGCTGTAGCCTCAGGGTGGGGTGGGGGTGTGAGAAAGTCCATTTCCTCCTCTGTGTCCTCCTCGTGGTATGTTGTCATGGTGGCCCAAGTGGATATATTACACAAAGATTGCACCTGTTCCCCTGCGGTTACCAGGTGATCGCAGTGGCAGGCATGGGTGGCATTCCAAATACTCCAGCTCTCCACCTCTTCTCCCACGCAGGACTAAGACACAATACATGGCACACTTCAGCCAAAAGGTAAGGAGGAGCAGCATGTGTCACCAGTGGGCAGACACCTCGGGAGTCTGCATGACGGTTCTCCCCGCTCTCTCTGGGGTGGTCAAGCTCCAGAAAGTTCCACTTCACCAGCCTGCTTCCTAAAAACCAGGGCAAGGCCAGCAAAGCAGCGAAGGCCCAGCGAGCCCAAAGTGCACTTTGAAGTGAGACCCACAAACACGCTCCATCATCAAGCCCTGGTGTGTGGCTCATCACCACAGCAAATTCTAACCTGCTCAACCTGCCTTCCCGCCCTTTACAATATGACTCTCATGTAGTGTATCCAATGTAGATATTCCATCATTTATTTAACTCACACAATAGGCCTATCAATGAGAATATTGGTCAATAGGAGTGAGTTTGGACATTTAAATTTTTATTAATAAGGCCATTTATGTGGTAAGCAGGCATCTGGCTTCCTGCAGAGATACAAAGACAGACCCAAGCGTGGTGGGGCACACGTACAATACCAGACACAGGGAGGCATTGGGGGCGGCATTGTAGGCCAAAGCTGGACCCCAACAAAAACATGAAACTCGAGCTGAAAAATAGCTAAAGCAAAACAGGGATGGGCCCACGGCTCAAGCGGTATGGCACCTGCCTTACAAGGGTAAGGTGTCAAGTTCCAACTTCAGTTCTACCAAAAACTAAAATAAAAAGACAGGAAGGCATCACCAAGATAGGAGTCCACAGAAGAAAGGTACTTGGCAAGGAGGGTGAAGGAGAATGCTGGGTGAAGAAGATGGCTTGCTACTATACACAGAACAATGGAGCCTGTGGGCACTGTTTGGAGAAGGGGAGAAGGGATGGAGGGATACGAGGGAGGGATGGGTTCTAACAACGATCGCGCCTTCCATACAACCAACCTAGACTATTTTGAAAAAAGACAAAGAAACACAGCGTGGCGAGGCTTCCTGGTAGGCATGCACAAGGACAAGAAAAGCGCAGGAATTTCATAATTCTGTCTGATGATCATGAAATCCACCCCACAACGCGCATTTGAAGCAGAAACTACCTTGGGGGGCACCTTCTCCTTGTTAAGTTAAAGCCCAAAGCACTGTGTCTCCCGCCCCCAATAGGATTTTATTTCAGTGAACGACACTGTTTCCTTCTCCTAATCCTACTGATTTCTCTGATCCCTTCAAATCCGGCGGCTCCTTCTTGATTCACTCTGGCCTCCATGGCTGACCAGCCACCGCCTTCGCAGGAGCTCAAAGCCTGTGTGCTGGCTGCCAAGTCTGGGAAATTGTGTCATCTCCTCAGCAGTCAGGTGATTTACTTATCAGGAGTTCTATTTATTCTCCTCGTGTCCAAACACCCTGTCATGCACCTGGTGGGAAGAATGGCAAGGAACAGTAGAAGGTGGGCTTTCCATCCATTCCACAGTCCTTATCTAGGCCTAGGTGTGTGTGTGGGCTTCTGTGTGGGCGTGGCCTTGGTTGCCTAGCAAAGTACTTTGGACTGACCAATACTAAAACTATACACAGGGTTTCATCAATCAGTCACTCCAGAAAGTTCATGGCATACAAATAGTAATAATTGTTAATGATGTTTTTCTCTCAAATTTTCTTTGAATAACATACAACTCTAAATTCTGGTACCAGAGGAAAAAAAATCCCTGAAGATTTTTTAAAATTTCTGTCTGTAATGAATACGTTGACCAGAAAATAACAACGCTGATTATTGCATTGTACTCATAAACTGTATGAAAACCCCTTTGTAGAACTAAAGATAATAAAACAGTTGATTATTTCAAACTTTAAATACCCTTTGATTAAAAAATTAAAGCCATCCAGTTTGTAATTTATTTGACATCTCAGTTTATAGATCTCCAAAGAGAATGTTAATCATACTTGTAATGGCAAATACCTTCCCCTAAATGGTTCATATAAAATGCAAACAGCATCACACACACACACACACACACACACACACACAGGAGAGAGAGTGTGTGATTGAGCTAAACACACAGATGTTGCGTTTTTAACTAGCCTGTCAAGTCCAACACGTGGGTGTGCTTCAGAAAACTGCAAAATTTAGCACAGTGTGTACTGGGACATTTCAATGTCATTAAATTGAAAAAAATCCATTGGCAATTATATATCAAAATGAGCTTGTCAAATCTTTGCAAGGGAAGGGAATTTTCTTTTTCAAATCCATGTAACTTAAATAACATTTAGCTCTGATCATGAATGCATGCATGGTAGGGTTTAAAAGAATTGTTTTGCCGAGTGATGGTGGCTTACGCCTATAATCCTAGCTACTCAGGAGGCTGAGATCTGAGGATCATGGTTCAAAGCCAACCTGGGCAGGAAAGTCCATGAGACTCTTATCGCCAATAAATCACTAGAAAACTAGAAGTGGCACTGTGGCTCAAGTGGTAGGGCACTAGCCTTGAGCTGAAATGCTGAGGGACAGTGCCCATGACTAGAGTTCAAGCCCCATGACTGACAAAACAAAAACCAAAAAGATAATTTTTTCATGTTTATGGGGGGGTAGAGCAGAAAATTACAGGACAGTTATATTAGGGGAGTGGGAAGCTGTCTCCACTGGGGCCTGGCTAACCAGCAGCATGGAGACCACCGAATGGGGCCTGGCTAACCACCAGCATGGAGACCACCGAATGGGGCCTGGCTAACCACCAGCATGGAGACCACCGAA